GTCAGCTAAAGGAAATGTAATGTAACCAAACATGACATACAGTGAACCCAAGACCAGTCCAATAAAGGTATAAACTATGGAGGCAAGGGTAATGATAAAAACTCCCAGTATCCAATGATCATCTCTCTTGATCAGGTTACCAAAGGACAGACTGGTTGTCATAACAAGCTAAACCAAGGCAAGCTGAGTTTAGAAGCATCACAGATCTGGCAGGGAATGAACAGAAGTGGTCTATTGGTAGATATGATACGGAGCTTATTGGAGGTGGTAACAGGTGTGTAGGTGGGTGGGGAGGGTCAGGTTATTGGGTTTGGGGTTAACAGACATTATTGCAGGACAGGTGGGGGCATGATCTCACATGACAGGAGAGTTAGTATGGCAGGGGAAAAAGCCCCCGAGGAAAATGTGATACTAGGAATTGGCTGACTGTGTGACATGAAGAGGGAGGAGATGAGATTATGTAGATGAAGTGGTTGCAGGTTTAGGGGTGACTTATAAACAGGGTAAATAGGAGCGCAGGCAGTTGGTTGGCTGATTAGGTGCTGTATATAAAATCTTGCCCTGAGCATGCCTCTGGCTGCCCTTTTCATGGTGATTCCTGCATTTCCATAATGCCATTTTCCGAGTGTCTGAGGTTTACACACACACACACACACACACACACACACACACACACACACACACACACACACACACACACACACACACACACACACACTCCAACTATACACCCAGCTCAAAGTTTGATTTGCATTGGACTACACATCAATAAACGCATCTGTTTTTTTTCCAGTGCTATGTTTTTCCAAATGACCTTGCTTGTGCAGACAGAATTTCTGCAGGAGTGAACATTCACAAAGTTTGCTTGTTTATATGTTTTTTGAATATTGTTTGTATATTTGTATGCTTTCAACGTGAGAGTGCATACTGTGTTCAGTTTGCTGTTGCTGTTTGAATCCTCACCAGAACTGTGTGCAATATCGATTCATTATTTCAAATGTTGGAGTGTTTAATCATTGTGGTTCCTTTGGAAAATGTTTTGGATAAATACTGAGATGGTGCAGTTGAGAGCAGCTTTTTTTCCAGATGTAACCCCTTTTCAAACACACACACACACACACACACACACACACACACACACACACACTCCTCTTCCATCAAGTCTCCACTGTTCATCCTCCACTTTATTGCCTGCAGGCACTCTAACTTGGAGTCTGAACTTATTACGCATCTCCCTTCTCTGAATTTGGGTGCACTCAGCTTGTGAATGGAGAAGGAATGAGCTCATTCTACCTGCGTCAGCGCGAGGAACGGCTCTGCTGCAAACGGCTCGGTGAGGAAAGTGTAATGAGGAAGCACAGGGTTTTTCAGCATTGGAGGTGAACACCCCCCTCCTCGCGTTCAGGATCGGCTCTCCCTCTCAACCAATCAAGCTTGACGTGATTTAAGCCTCCCACCGCTGCATGTGAACTCCACGAGAACAGATTTATGAAAATGTTTAACTTTTTCCTGTAAGATTGCTCCAGGCTCTCTGTCCTCTCTCAGAGCCAATCAACTGAAACGCTCCATTTCTCTCTGTCTCTCCTCTTCTCCCCCAGTCCACCATCCCTTACTGTGTCCCACCATTTTGCCCACTATCACACCTTTGTACACACTTACTAGGGAAATAGGGATGACAAATCTTTCTTCTCAGAAGGGATTGCTGAAGGGATTTGTTCCATTGATGGTTGATTATTTCATGCTGAGTCAAAGGAAGGTAATGCTCTTCTTTCTCCATGGTTACCAACGGTTTTCGATATGTGTGCTTCTGTTGCTAAACAAACATAAGTAATCTAATTTTGCAATCTCTTCTGGAGCGCACAGAGGAAATGAACATGACATAAACATGACAGTTCAGCTTTGATAAATAGCCTTGGGTGCTCCACTAGTTGTGACAGAGCAGAAAGCAGAAGATGGCTGGACAGAATGGAGGGAGGATACAGTGTCTGTGTGATCCCTGAGAGGGGAGAGGTTTCCTTACCTCAGGGACTTGAGCAGGGGATATCTCGGCAGTAATAAATATTTGTTTGTATATCTGCTGCTTGTCAGAGTTGTGGCGCTGCTACATACTTCTGTGTTTTTAGTGCACCAACAGGAGCCAGAGCCAGGAATCAGCAGTGATGGATGGCCCTGTGCTCACAGATGGAGAGGTCAACGGAGTTCACCGTGGTGATGGAGACACTTCCCTGCTCGGCCCGTCTACTTTTTTAATTAACCTCTTTGGGAGGACCAGTCTCTTCCTTTAGAGGTAATCACAGGCTGGAGAGTGCCTTCATTAGGACTTATCTGACCTCTGTGTGTCCAGTAGAGAGCACACTCTCTGTCTCTACACCCACCACCACCCATCCAGTGCAGTAATGGCAGTGCCTTACAGAAAGGGCGATACAGCAGACCTTCGGAGTTTCCATTCTCTATAACCTCTTCCTGTCCGTGTTCACACACCTCACTCTATTCATCTCCCTGATAGATTTATTTTTCTTTCACAGCAAGGCAACTTCATTGATCCAACCAAGAGACAGTCGCATTGTAACGGTGAATTAGGCAAGGCCCCTCTTGCCAGAAGCCTTTGTGCTTTTCCTGTTTTCGTCTCTCATTTTCTCTTTTCTGCTCTTACTGTGGACCTCGTGGCCTCATTATACACAGACAGACAAGAAGCATCGACAGAAATAAAATGTATCTTATTTTTCACATTAGACTTCTAAGGGCCAAACAGGCATCAGCGCTCCTAAGCGGAAGTGAACCCCTCTGAGTAATGCCCCAGAACAAGCAGATCAAACGCTTCGCTGCCTTTCTTCCTATCTCTCTATTTTGGTTGCCTACTTTCATGTTGGGGAACAGTGGCTTAAGTGGCTCTATTGGAGCCCTCTGATGGGCTCTTAAATGAAGCCTGTGTGAGCTTGGGAAATACATTGGTTTGTTCTGAAGCTTCCTTGGTGCCCCCTGCTGTCCGCTCTGTGATCTGTGTTGTATACGATGAGGGACAACGTCTGGCAGGGAACAAGTACAAAAAAAAAATAAGGACTAGGATGAGTCAGGCAAGTTGCTTTGTTGAAGCTTTTTACATTTTCCTTCAGTGGATGAGAGTTTTATAGAATGAACACTCTGGATTGTATGTATTCACAATGATAGGAGGGGATAAAGCGATAAATGCATGGACCCACATCTCCCCCATGTGGACAACCGGTGTATAAACACTTTATTTAAACATCCAAAGCTTCTGGAAACTGACTTTTTGTCAGTACACACCCCATTCAAATTCCAACTTATAACCAACACTTTTTATAGCTGCAAGACTTACGTGAAGTTTATTGATTAATTTGTCTTACTCACGTCAAGTTTCCCATCTGGTGTTTGGCAATAAAATGCCAGGCCCGAATCCACTTGGTCTGTTTTCTTTTCAATAATCCACCTCTGAATTATTCATTTTTGTAAAAGATTCTAGTCCACCTAAATCTTCCTCATTCGTATGCAGCCAAGCTGGGTGCTTGACTTTTCGGTTTAACTCATCTGAAAGTTGCCTCAGTGTATGGCAGAGATGGTGTGTAGTGTGTGTGCCTTCAACAGTAGATGTGTGTTTGAATCTCATTGGACTTTTGCCAAGAGACTGGATCTGAGATCAGAAACTCTGGTTTTTCTCACTTTAACAAGAGGTGACAGAGGTATTTCTCTTTGACTCAGTGCTGTGTTTTGGTTTACATCTTGTTACAGAATAATCCCTGCTAATAAACACACATTTGTGTTATCTGGGTTAATTAGTGCATGCCAATCAAGATTAATATACATACTCTAATCTAGCAGTTACATTAGTTTGCAACAAGTCTCCCTTACATGTGCATCATTATTTTACATTATTACTGTCTTGGATGTCCCATAATCTATTGAGACTTTGTGAAGACAGTTGATTATGTTGTGTTGTTTTCCCACGCATAAATAATAAGGTGTATGTGGACCAAACATTGTGTCGTCATATTGATTAAAACCGGTTATTACAGTTAAATAACACAGTAAAATTGTAGGAAGCAATGGACAATATATTGAGTCAATGATTCAACGCAGCTAAATAAATGTACTCAAGTACTGTACTTAAATAGTATTTTTGACATACTTGTACTTAACTTGAGTAATTGTAACACAATAAACCACTGTAACTTTTCTTAGAGCACCTGAAAAAGCGCTTAGAAATTAAATGTATTATTATTATAGTTTTTTATGCTACCTAGTATTTTACGTAAATGGTTATAAGTAGGCTCCACATTGAAAAACGAAAGCCTTTAAACGCCCCTGCATGTACTTATTAGTAATAAAAACAAGATAACATAATATTCTAAAATCATTTACTGTAAAAATATCTATTATGCATTTTGATAACTTTAACTTTTGCTACTTGAAGTACATTTTATTGATAATACTTACATTTTCAATTTGGGACTTATTAGTATAGTATTTTAAGACCAGAGTTGTTCTACTTTTACAATAATCTTACTTCTTCTTCCACCACTGGAGATAATTTACTTTACAATCTTGTATTTTGTGAACTTTGGCTTTAAAAACAAAGCTACTGATTCCTGTGTAAAAATAATGTAGTCTGAATTTGAAATTCAATATGAATTGTAGCAATATGTGACTGTTGCCATTACATTGATTAAGAAAATCGTTAAAGTTTAATTATCTTTAGGTCTATAATGTATCACGACAGTTTATTTTCAATTTCCACCATTGAAGGAGATCCATGAAAGCAATGTGACTTATTTCGTGTGCTTCCAGCTTCACAATGTGCGCTGCGAGTCTATAAAAGTTGTGTTTACACGGTAAATAGACACTAAAGCCGATTATGACCAGGATCTGGAGGCAGGGCAGCGGAGGCCTGAAGCGGCGATGTGATTGGTCGCCGACTTGTCAGGAAGTGTCATGCAACCAATTACAGTGCGCGTAGATTTATCTCTGCCTTTGACCATCCGACCTCAAGTACCTGTCAACACAATGCATTTATTGTGTAAAGGTAATGAGATTTCTGAATGTTTTTCTCTCACAAAGCATCCGTTTAACCGGGGGGAGACATGCTCATAAAAATGACGGAACACTAATCATCTCCGCAGTGAGTCTCAGCAGTTTTATGAAATAAGTTTGTCCCTCATTACATGCAGCAACCGGACTCCGAGAATGACATGTGTTGCCACTAGCAGGATGGAGTGGCTGTTCCAGCGATGCCATAAAGAAGCTGTCTTTTTCTCTGGGTTTCGCTCAGTGCTGCTCATGTCATGTTTGGTAAGAGTTACAACTTAGTTTAATAAATTCTCACTTAGAAAACTTGTTTTTTTTGTTGACATCTAAAATGCAAAAAAAATATTAATTGCATTTCTTCTGAAATATTTGTGTTGACCCCACAGCTCTGGGTGTGACCAGTGCTGTGCTGTGCAGAGAAGTAGGACAGATTATAAATTGGTCACTGCGTCCAAGCCAAGGCCTATACTCATTTATCTGCGCCAAATAATAAGAGGATAAATACTGAATCCAATCCAATCCAAACATGGCAATCCTTTCAGAGGGCAGAAGATAATTAAATTGAGTTATGACTTTGCTGAGTCCAAACATGAAATAACGTGAAACAGCAACATGTCAAAATCATTTATGTCAGATAGGCAGCAAATATTACATTATGCAAGATACAAGTTCTTCAAGTCTCTTGTAACTGACTTATTTAACACTTTGTTGCATTCTGCTCTCTCTATACTATGCTATGACGTTTGTATTTTGGTTTTGTCAGTTGCTTTTGTTTGCTTTGTACAGCCCTTTGAAGCATTTTTTGTGATTTGGGGCTATAATACATTTTTGATTTGATTTGATTTATACAGCTCTTGGTCCTGTCCGTGTCCATGTACCCCGGGTTGTGGTCCATTGGGGTCCAGCTTCATTCAGCCTTCACAGGGAGCTACGCACCAGGCCACCACTCCCTTCTTCTTATCAACAGCCCCAACGAACTGGCAGCTAGAGACATTGGCAGGTACAGGAGCAGGTCACTTTTTACAGTCTGCATGAATGTAGTGATTAAAGAATGTATTATTGATGTTTAAGCAAATGGAAACACATGGCTTTGATGAGTGATGTTAAATGATTTAGCTCAAAGGCACAGTGCAAGATTTTGGGTCATCTTAAGGTCACTGATTTACTTATCTCATATCTTGTTTGTTTAAACTGTGAAGCAGAAGTGAAAATTATTCCTCAAATCTCACAGAAGTTAAAGGATTTTTTGTTTAATATTTTAATGCCGGTTTCCACCTTGCTGCAAGTCCTTATTACATTACATATTATTTAGCTGAGGCTTTTATCCAAAGCCACATACATTCAATACCATAGACATGCCTACGGGGGCAATTTGGGGTTAGGTATCTTGCCCAAGGACACTGACATGTTGTCAGGAGGTGAGATCAAACTGCCCACCCCCTGATTTGTATATCATGCTAACCCCTGAGCTATAGCCAACCTCATGCTAAGATAAGCCAAGTCTGCTGCCCCAAGCTTCATCTTAACTTTACAGACATGAAAGTGAATGAAGTGGTGTGTCGGAGGTGTGAACATCTAAATACATTATCGACAAAAGCATCTGCAAAAGTACTGCAAAAACTTCGGTCAGCAAAGATTTGATGTCCCCACAGTGTCCTGAAAATGCAGGATGACAGTTGCCAAAACTGTCAAATCATCAAGTTAACTGACATGCAACAATGTAAACTTTCTTGCCCTTGGTCCGGATCAAATAAACTAAACTACAGTGTGAAAGCTCAAGGTGATGTAAATAATTGAAAGTAGGTCCACCAGACATACAGTAAGTTTTGACTGAGAGATACAGCCCTGTCAAACCCACTGATACAGTGTTGTGTTTGCACTCTCATCTCCTCTGTCAATATTTGAGCACATGTCAAGTTAGAAGTAAGCGGTGCACTGTGCAGGTGCCGGATATGTAAATCACCTGCTTCACAGGAGGAGCTAGTAATACTGTCGGCTGAGCAGCAGAAAGAAAAGTTTGCAATCTTTCAGAGTTTTTGTGCATTAAGTCTTTCCTGCGGCCTGCTTAAAGAGCAACATAATGATGGGCTCAGTTTCATGCAGTAATTGATAAACAGCTGGTGGTCTGTAAGTGTTTAATTTGTCTCTTTTTCCTTTTTCCATGTCTTCGCCGCTACGTTTCCATCCATGCTCCCTACTATTCTGTCTTTTTTCCAGGGCGATTATGGAGAGGCAGCTGGCAGCCAGTATCAACATCCTCGCCAGGACCTCTACAATGTAAATCAAACTGACCTCCTACCATGCCACAACTTTGAACCCAGCTGGGGCACAAACAAACAGACTATCTTAGTGCTTACATGTACAGAGATGCTTAAACACGTGTTGTTTCTCTGACCTACATGACTGGTTACCTAGGAAATCACAAGGTGAATGGGTTGCATCTCAATGCGTTTATCCGTTTTTCCACCACTTGAGTGGCAGATAGCCTTCAAGCGGTCATTTGAATTCATGGATTAGCTTTTCTGTTAATGCATAAACCACAAAAGGAACAAGGGAGGAGCAACTGAGGAGAGTAACTCATTGGAAAATGCCATATAAAACGTGTTAAAGAACAGAGGTTTAGCCTAAAAATAGAGGATGTGGTTCCAGTAGTTTAGGGGTAATGGAGGTGATAGGGGATTTTAATGTGTGAGTTAAGTACTGAAGGAGTATCAGCTATATCTAGGCTCATGTAGTTGTATGCCTCATTTATTCTGGCATTCAACAAGTTTAAATATAGGTTTTCGGCTTGGTTTTAACTGTCCTTCACAATCCAAGAGAAATGGCAACATAAAAGCCTGGCATCACTGTGAATCACAGCCGCAATATTAATTATGGCTTTTCACAGTTTGATGTTGAGAGCTTTCTTTTACAATAATTTTACAAAACCTTTTTTACTCAATTCAAGGATCTGACCCTTACACTGGTACTCTTGAGTCTAGTCGTAATTCACAGTTACTTATGTGCATTAAATGGGGCTTTTTTAATGTCAGTGGTTTTTCTGGTTCTATAGGTACTACTGGAAGGGTGAAATCCAAGATGCAAGTGAAGTTCTGATGGTAAGCTTACTGACAAACAATGTCCTTTTTCTATACACATGTACTCAACAAGAATGCTGAAATTCCTGTTAAACTGCAGAAGTGTAAAATGAGATGTCACTGTTGTTGCAGCTGGTGAAAACAAAGACCTCCAGGATCCAGCAGGTCATGGATTTTGTAAGGTGAGAGGTTGCTCTATGTAACAGTTATTAACTTTATTCGTATTACCATCCAAGTTTCAAACTAACTTCATGTTAAATCTGTGCGAGCTCCTGTAGACATGCTTTCAACGGTTGTTGCGGTTATTTTCAACTTGGACCATACTATTCATGTACTTAAAATGATTCCATTGCAACAAAAGCTATGACTGTATGTTCAACAAATTACAGCATTGTAATCAACAGTGTTGTACAAAATATTTTTTTCTTGATCTGAATTGACTGTTGGTGTCCGTAAGAGTAATTTATTGAGTTGTTAACGTTAGTAAATGTTCTCCAGCACCATCAAAAAGCCATAAACAGTTAAGGATCCACATTTCTGTTTGGCCATTTGTGATTGCATCATCAGACGATTATACTTGTTCATGTGCTAAGTTGTTGAAGTGGCATCTTTCTGAGTTAAAAAGTCCAGGTTGAAATAATTGAAATCAAGAGGAAATCCTAATGACTGCTGCTTCCTGCTTTGCTACAGTGCAGATGCGCTTCTCACTTCCTTTCTGCTTTGCTGATATTTGTGCGACCTCTTCATACTTTTGTCCAACTAAAACCTTTAAGGAAGTTTCCTATGACTTGTTGTTACTACTAAAATATTTAGGGAGGATTATTTATGCAACACTACCCACAAAATGAGCGCGCCCCAACAGAAACTTAGTGGTCCACTGACAACGTTTTCTTGAGGAATGCAATATACCTCTTGGCTTATCACAATCGATGAAGAGCACAGATTGTCATAAACTGTTGCCCAAGATTGCTTGATAAAAAAGTATATTCTTGCTGGAGAGGTTTTCTGAACGCCTGGCACTTTTCCAAAGTCTTCTGCCTCTTAACTCGACAAGATGGACAGCTATCTTTTAATAACACCACACCTTTCCTTAGCCTCACCGAGACAAAACCAGTGAATTCATGTGCAATGAATTTCATTGCTGCCTGCTGGGATAATCTGTGTGCAAAAGCTATAAATAAGTACAAGGTTGTACTCATGAAAGCTTTAGCGCAAGTTCAATAAGGAAGACCTAACTCGAGTCACTCACACGTCACTCTATGGCTCCCTTCCCCCCTCATTAAATATGAGGGCGTCACGCCTCAGCAGCCAATCGCTGCACATGCTAAATGCCTTAAATACCTGCTCTTCCTCCCTGTCAGTTGTCATTGCAGATGATCACACGCAATGGTAGTTGCAATACAATACGGCTTCTCGTGAGAAAAACCGTAAGAAACAACTAGCTCAAGATGTCCAACTCGGACAATTCGGAACACGAACCTTCTCTGGAAGTCTCCGATCCCGGTTCGGCTCCCCACAGCGGCTTATCAACAGAGGAAGACTTCCTCATCGCCGGGCTCCTGCAGCAGGGCTTTCCCACAGCCCCAGGCCTCACTCTCTCTCAGCTGCGATAGCTCTCGGACCAGGTCTCCAGCGTAGCTCCCCAGTCCGGGGCAGCAGCTCCAGCCAGCTTCCCAGAGAGCAGGACGAGGCCGCAGCCGCGGAGGTAAAAAAAAAAAAAAAAAAAAAAAAAGGGCAGGAAGTCGAGCCCTCCAGGATCCCGTCCCCCTCCAAAAAATCCACCCCTTCTCAGGCTCGCCAGTCCGGTAGCGTCACACACCCCTATGGAGAGTAGCGCGGCCGGCTCCCTGCAATTCCTGGCTAGCTCCATGATAGCTATCGATGCTCGCCTCCAGGCTCTGGAAGACTACGCCACAGGAGCTTCAACTTCCGTTGCACTCAGGTACTAGTTTTAACGAAAACGTTTGCACTCGACCCTTACACAGGGTTGGGTTGTAACGGAATACATGTAACGGTGTTACGTAATCAGAAGAAAAATAAAGAAAGAAAAAAAAAAAAAAAAATCAGTATATTCAGCGGTGTTACATTTGAAAAACGAGTAATCTGAGTGCAGTTACTCTCGTAAACCTGAAGTGAATACTTATTGGAATTATTGGTGGAAAGTTTCCTCACAATGTAATATTCATTACCGGCAGAACCGTGTGCACAGCGCTGCAGCGTATCTGCGAGCAAGAGATGCAGCGTGTCCGTGAGGCCCCGCCCCGCACGCAGATGAGAGAGAGAGAGAGTTCTCTTTCAAAACATATTGGAAGGTAGAAACGGAGATGTTTAGATAAAACGTGGAAGATAACGTTTACGTAGCATTTATTTATTGTCGGAATGATGACATTCATAACGGGATCAAATCTAACTGAATGGCCTGCTGCTGCCGAATGCATGGGACAAGTAACTGGGAAAAGTTTTAAAAGTGATTACATCGTTGCAGATAATAAATAATAATGATAATGTATTCTATTTAGGGGCGCCTTTCAAAGCACCCAAGGACACCTTACAATGCATAAACTTTTCCAAGGAAAGGTTTTAAGACAGTACAAAGAATGCAGTCTGGGTGAGTTTTTCTTTTTATGTGCGGTGCAGATGAGAGAGCTGTCCAGAATGACACTAAAATGTTGTGTTCGTGCTCTTCATAAGCCATTAAAACAGTAAAATACGTGTCTCCCGTTCACCAAAACATACCCATCTGTTATGGAAAAGAAAGTATTCTAAAGAGAAAGAAGAAAGAAAAAGAAGAGGAAAAGATAGAAAGAAGAGGAAAAGGAGAAAATATAAAAAGAAGAGGAGGAAAGAAGAAAAAGAAGAGGAAAGGAAGTATTCTAAAAGTAATCTGCCACCGGTACCGGCGGGATCGTGGTTAGTTTCCGATGCGCAGAAGAAAATCTGGCCCACCCTATATTTTTACAGGCCCACCCTAAAGTACATTTCTGCCTACGCTACTGGTCCGCACAGCAGCAACAACCAATCACATGAATCTCTTGCCCCCGACACACAAAGCAATAGCAATGTTAAAACTAAGTAAACTGGAAAGAAAAAAAAGAAAAAAATCCCCAACAGGCGAAAACCTACCAGTTTCACCCACTGTCTCTGCCTCCTCCCTCCATGCCTCGCTCCTCTGGTTTGTATCCCGGTAGATGAACAGAGACTGATCATACAGCACCGGGTGATTCACTACCGCTATAATGAATTTTCCCTCACATTTTTGGAATATGAGGAATTACCTGCGTAGTCTCTCCCAACATACACGCGGTCTGATTGGCTAGCGCTTGTACCGGCAGATTTGCATAAACGGGATTTCATTGGCTGACGCTTCTGCCGAGGCGCCAAAAGTTGAACATTGCTCAACTTTTTGAAGCGAGCAACGCCAGCAAACGCTCCACGTCGCTTCCCAAAATACAGTTCTACTAAAAGTGACGTCACCCCATTCAAAGTGAATGGGCAGAAGCGTCGGAAGCTGTAACTCACGCCACCGTGTGGACGGGACGTCACAGTGGCTCTGCGCCAGAAACATAAAAAAAAAATATATAAAAAAATAAAAATAAAAAAAGGCATTCTGGAATATCACCCCTCCACTCCCATTAACATCCCTCAGCTAGCAGCTGCGCTATCTACAGATTCCGTGTTCGTTGACTATCTCCCGTCAGGGCTCTCCCAAGGCTTCAGGGTAGGGGTCCTCCCATCTCCCACAGTGACTTCGTAGCAAGAAACTTACAGTCAGCCGCTAAAGAACCCAACATAGTTTCCCAGCTCATCGACAAAGAACTTCTCAAAGGATATATAATCGGTCCTTTTAGCTCCTCCCCCTTCTCAGTGTTCCGTTCAAATCCCATCGGAATAGCCACACGTAAATAAAAGGCTGATTTTCGATCTGTCCGCTCCCTGCTCCGGCCCATTCTGCAGCGTCAATAGCATCATCCCTCCAGATCAGTTCTCCCTTCACCATGCCTCAGTGGATAATGCAATAAAGATGATCAAGTTCACAGGGCACGGAGCTCGGCTCTCCAAAGCGGACATTACCGATGCCTTCAAATCATCCCCATTCATCCGTCTCAGTGGAACTTGTTCGGTATTAAGTGGGAGTCCAAACTCTATCTTTGCCGTTCGCCTGACCTTCAGGTGCAGAAGCAGCCCCCGCATCTTCAATTCCTTCTCGGAAGCGCTCTATTGGATCCTGCTGAACATCGTCAGAATCCCCTCCGTCCTTCACCTACCGGACGACTTCCTCCCCATAGACCCGCCACAGGACAGCTCAGGGATCTCACTGGCCAAGCTTAAACACTGCTTCAGGAGTGAGGTGTCCCTCTCTCCAAAAAGAAAACGTTAGGTCCCGACACACACTTAGAGTTCTTAGGCATCATCCTCGACTCCATAGACATGAAGGCGTCTCTCCCCTCCGACAAATTGCAGCGCATCCGGGACATCACCAAGTCATACTGCGAGCAACAAGTTATCACAAAACAACAGTTGCTCTCCCTTCTCGGACACCTCAACTTCGCCATGCACGTCATCCCCCAGGGGCGCTCGTTCATCTCCCGCCTCCTGGACGCAGCATCAGCGGTCGACAACCTCCATGACCGCGTTTTCTTAGACGAAGGCTGCCGCTCAGACCTACGGTTCTGGTCCCTCCTGCTCGCCCACTGGAACGGAGTTACCTTCTTTTACGATGGCCTCGTGCGTTCCTCTGACTCAATGAGTTTCTTCACGGATGCTGCCCATCCATGGGTTTTGGGGGTTTCTTCCAGGGAGAGTGGTTCGCAGGGTCATGGCCCCGTCAATTTCTACCCAAGCAAGTTCTCACTAAATCCAGCCTATCACCCATATCATACCCGGGCATTCCTTCAGGATAGGTGCAGCCACCTCTGCTGCTAATCAAGGTCTCTCTACCTCATCCCTACAACAACTAGGACGGTGGTCCTCCTCCGCCTTCACAACCTTCATTCGTCCGGACATCAGCGCCGTACGGGCTTCCCAAAGATCTCTCAGACCCTAACTATGGTAGTTATACATATAACTGGTGGTGGCTCAAACACATTCACAAGTATACATGTCTCACTAAGGTTCCCGATATTCAAAACTGCATTCCTGTCCTAATTCCGCGGGCCCCGCCCACAGGGAATAATGTCTCGTCTCACGCCGCAACTACAGGTAATGGGCTTCATCTCCGGCACACAGGTATTTCATTCCCAGGCCTTGCTCAAACGCATCAGCGTAAAATGTATTTCCTGCAGTCCGCGTGGACTCGGGCCACCGTACACTCCGGTGTCAGTTACAAAACAAAGGAAATAAAGAAAGAGTAAAGATATGTATATATAGCCTGCGAAGTCAGGCGTGGCGGAAAGCCACCGTACACTTCGGTGCCAGTTACAAAACAAAGGAAAAGAAATGAGGAGTAAAGAAAAAAATATATATATATAGCCTGCGAAGTCAGGCGTGGCGGAAGGCCACCGTACACTTCGGTGTCGTAGCGGAAGGCTACCGTACACTTCGGTGTCAGTTACAAAACAAAGGAAAAAGATACATATATATATATATATATATATATATATATATATATATATATATATATATATATATATATATAACCTGCGAAGTCAGGCGTGGCGGAAGGCCACCGTACACTTCGGTGTCGTAGCGGAAGGCTACCGTACACTTCGGTGTCAGTTACAAAACAAAGGAAAAAGAAATAAAGAAAAAAAATATATATATATAGCCTGCGAAGTCAGGCGTGGCGGAAGGCCACCGTACACTTCGGTGTCGTAGCGGAAGGCTACCGTACACTTCGGTGTCAGTTACAAAACAAAGGAAAAAGAAATAAAGAAAAAAATATATATATATATATAGCCTGCGAAGTCAGGCGTGGCGGAAGGCCACCGTACACTTCGGTGTCGTAGCGGAAGGCTACCGTACACTTCGGTGTCAGTTACAAAACAAACGAAAGAGTAAAGAAAAGATATATATATATATATATAACCTGCGAAGTCAGGCGTGGCGGAAGGCCACCGTACACTTCGGTGTCAGTTACAAAACAAAGGAAAAAGAATAAAGAGAAATATATATATATAGCCTGCAAAGTCAGGCGTGGCGGAAGGCCACCGTACACTTCGGTGTCGTAGCGGAAGGCTACCGTACACTTCGGTGTCGTGGACGTTGGGCCACCGTTACAAAACGAAACCGCTCGCTCCTCGGCGTAGTCAAGCCCTGCTGGCCAGGCATGCGACCCGCAGGTCGTTTTCAGATAAGACCGGCACTGATTTCGGCAGTCAGAGTCTCAGCATGACCAGTAAGCTCCGGCAGTGATTCCGGCACAGTGTCGCTCATATACGTGTTAATCTATTATCTCTCCTCCCCAGATCACCAGTCACCCCACAAGGTAAGCAACTCAGTTCATCTCAGTATTCATACTTCACTGGTTTTGGGGATTTCATCGGAGCGGTGCTTTCCCTCCTGAATGATTATCCTGCAAACCGGGGGCCTAATCGCCAAACACCATTACATTCTCCTGTTGTACTATCATGGCAATCATTTCATTCATATGACGTGTAAACAATAAATATGTAATTCTTACATCACGTCTCTCCGGTTTGAACTACAGATGGCACGATTTAGTAGAGCTAACTTGGACCCAGGACATCTGTTGGACAGCCAATGGTGGGCACGAGGAACATACTTACCCCATTAACACAAAAAATAACATAGGAAATGAAGAGAAAATGTGTCATGTGGAAGAAAGAGGGAAATCTCTTCGAAGACAATGGTTCATTCACCATTCATGGTCCCATTTCCCGAGTTAGGAAGTTGTTTTTCCGACTTTGGTGTGTTGATGAGCCTGTGATAATGTGGAAGAAGGCATGGATGCTCAAAAAGAAGATGTCTTGTATGTTATTACTCAGAGCACTTAAAAAACATGTTGATTGAGCTGTTGTGCTGACATGACAGGGCATTCATGTGAATATTTGCAGTTGAAACTAGTTTTAAACATAACATAATTTGTGCTCACCCTTGATTTTTACTCGCTTTAAAATGTATTGGGGTTCTGTCTGATCTTCGCCCTCGAGCCCGGCCCCCTGAGTGCCGTGGTCTTCGCCCTCGGGCCCGGCCCCCTGACTCTTCCTGCCGCTGCCTTTTCCCTCATGCTCGGCCCCCTGAGTTCGCCCGCTGTGGTCTTCGCCCCTCCATGGTCTCTGCCTTGCCCCCGGGCCGTCCGCCTGAGTTCCCCACCTTGGACTCTGCCTTGCCCCCGGGCCTTGCGCCCGAAAATAAGACCATTCTTTTATTTAGTAATCCTGCTATCAGACAGACAGACAGACAGACATACAGACAGACAAATAAACCAGGCTAACATCAAAACACATTGTGGCAAAGGTTAAGAAAACATACTACATTCAAGGTGCTATGGTCTGTAACACAAAAGAGAAAATGTTGGGGTCCAGAGATATTTGCAGAAATAACCGTATGGACACACTGATACACTGACAGTTTTATTTTGTATTACTGGACCACTGCCAACAGAGGGATCAAAAGGTTCAACAGACTTATATCAAAACCTGCGGACTGAAAAGAATCAAAGTTATTGATACCTTCAATCTGTTCTGGGGATGTAGTCCTCTTTTCAGGACAGGGGGCCTCCACTGAAGCAGATCTAAAGCCAATGGTTGTTATGGACCCTTTCTGGATTAGCCTGAAACATCAGGCCATGGATGATGTGCCCAGTTGCAGCAGTTTTAGCTTTAGTGCCTCAATGTCAGCAGTTGACTGATCCGTCTAAGTACTGAAAGGCAGTTTCTTCTTTGACATAATTGCCAAAATTAATAAGGGTAAATGGACTGTACTTATATAGCGCTTTATCCAGTCTTTACGACCCCTCAAAGCGCTTTACATACTACATGTCATTCACCCATTCACACCCATTCATACAGAGCAGTACCACTTGCTCTAGGACCTAACATTCACACACATTCACACATCGTTGGCCATGCCATCGGGAGCAACTCAGGGTTAAGTATATTGACCAAGGATACATCGACATGTTGGCTGCACGGGCTGGGATCGAACCCACAACCTTCTGGTTGAAAGACGGCCACACTCCCTCTCAGCCACAGTCGCCCTGTATGTAATAATACATGTCATTTATTTGCTCTCAACAAACCCTCCTGTATTGTACCCCTTGGTATTCTATCCACTTAATCATGTAATGAATTTCTCCTTATACACTGACATAATTCATAAAATTAGACAAGCTGCTAGATTCTCCAGGTACAGGGCCTGAGTTGTCCTTGCATGCACCAATTCAATTAGTGCACCACAATTTGAACATGACACAACCATTAACCTTGGAGGAAATCATGCAACATTTGAAGTCTTCCTCCTGCTGATTTGCTATTCTGGCTACAGGCTTTTCTCATTAATCATTTTGACTGCATGGCATCAGATCTGTGAATAGTCAACAGTTCTCTACTCCCAGGCTTTTTATTACATGCGCTAATAACTGTGACACTTAGGAAAAAGAACAATCTAGACAGCTATCTAATTAACTAAAGTGTTTTTTTAACAGCTTTACACGTTCCAAGCTGGAACAACAATAAACAATGTATACTCAGAATGTGGACCACACTTCAGCATTGAGACTACTCTTGTTAAGGTTTTGAATCTGCTTAAACACAGACTTTTGGAAAGCTTCATTCTTATCAATAGATCTCAGTGCTGCATTTAACACAGTCAGCCACAACATAGTGAAAGCTCTGTGGGACTTTCTGTCACAGTGCTAAACGGGTTTGAATCCCTTTTGAAAGAACATAAAACGGAGTCCCCCAAGGCTCCATCCTAAGGTCTCTTCTGTTCAATATTTAGATGCAAAGATTAGAAAAAACATCATATTAGTTTTGCAGACATAGAGTTTTTAACGATATCACCAAGGGATTATTGTGTGTCTTCATATTCTCTTTATACTGCTTTGTGTTTCTTTTATATATTTTCTTATGCCCAAAATTGCCTTGCCTCGTATAGATATGTGTTCTTGCTGTAGTGTTTATCTTTTATAAATAAAATGTATGTATCATTTTGTATTTGTCTGGGTCCCTTCAAGGTCTGTCCATCCCTACGCTAACCCAGAAGTCCTCAGCTTCCTGGTGGAGGACGGCAGTCTGGCTTACATGAAGTGGATGGATGAAGCCATTCCAGACGACTGATACGTTTGTGAAATCAAAGCAAACCTCAACATGGACTGCAGCTGAACATGGAAAATGAGCCATGTGTACAGGCTGATGTTTGAAGGCTTTGGATCGAAGGGTTCAGAAAGCAACACTAGTTCGATACATGACATTTATACTTTTTGTTGCTCTGACCTTGTCATAGCAAATTCCACTACTACTGTGGATATTTGATTTCCACTTTAAAGTATTTTGTGCTACATTCTCAGAAGGAACTTACCTCTGTTTGACTGGACACCTCAAACAAACATATTCCAAGATGACCAGTCAGTTTTAAGTCAGTTTGCAAAGTATATTAATCTGGTATTAACGATAACAGTATCTCAGCTTTGTGCTAAAGGATTCTCAGTAAACTCATTGGTTAAATACACTCCAAGTTGTCTAGATTTATAAAATAATATTGGTATCAGTACAGGAATCACCAGTCTGTATCATGCATTTTAGTCCTCACTATTCACTACATCAATGCCTTTTTGCATGTACGTTGCTGAAGCGTTTATACAGATACTGTCTTCTAAAAGCAGTAATCTTTGAATAGTGGCATTTGATGAACCATCTCCTCCTCTAGTTTAATCACGTTTACATTTATATTCTATTTTATTTGGTCTAGTTTTACTTAGATATTCTTTTAAGATGACATCTCTTTTCCTTTTAACAAACATTGAGGTTTGCCTTACTGGTTTATTGGTTTAAACGATTAATATAATAATAGTGTTTCCTTTACTGGAAGGCGGCACACAACTGTCTGCCTTGAGAAATATAATTGTATTGAAAGGTGTGTCATAAAAGAACAATACTGCTGAATTTCAGTACAACTCCAGGTTAGCCCTGTTTGTACCAATAAAACATGTAATACCACCTTGTAGAACCTCAGAGAAAACTACACAGTACTACTGACGATACATTAACAAACAGATGTGACTGACAACATTTTGCGTTATTGTACATTTTGACAATTTCTCTCCATTGTTTTTATCATGAATATATAAAACATTATATGGTTTTGTATGTATAATTATGGACTGATGCTGATCAGAGCAGCCTGGCTAAATAACTTAAATTGAATAACAAAAACAAACAATCAACACTCTGATACACGTGTGCGTTACAGGGCTTGCCTGAAAATGTTCTTACTGTGGAGATAATAAAGGATTATTTTATTTTATCTTATCTTGTTAACTGGATCTTTGATACATGACCACAGAGGTTTAATAAAAAAACAAAAACAATTAATATACATTACAATACATCTGTTACACCAAGCCATGCTGTATTTGCAGTTACAGGTCAGCCTTGCATGCTTACCTCATTATACAAAAGTAAACTTTAATCCTCAGTCTGCAGAAAAGTGTTTCCGGCATGAGGCCCCAACAAAGAAACTGCAGACCGGGTTTAGTCGTGTGTTGTGTCTGTAGAGCCAGAATAATCCTCCGCATCAGCTCCTGGGATCAGGCCATTTGATGGCGTGTGTGAATGTGCGCATTTGTGTGTGTATGGGTGTTTGTAACTACTTCAACGCATGTGTACCCATTCACATCAATGCGTGTGTACAAGCCATGTCACAGGCTATAAATACTTACAGGAAGTATGCCTTTGTGAGTTGTTATGGTTGACTATAACAAATTCCACTGTAATATGAATATTGCATAAAGATCAAAAGTATACTGCTATTTGGTTAGGTGTTCACTAGATGGTGGTGTTTCAAGGACATAAAAAACACTGTTTCTTGATATTAACATGTAGATCCTGTTATATTACGGCAGTATCTTTTTTTTGTCATATACTATAACAAAAACACAATCTGCTCATTTCCCAGCCCAATATTTTCATTCAAGGTTGAGAAGTAAGCAGCAACTACTACCAAGAACTAGTTTGAAAGAGGTTTTGTAGTAATACTTAACATGAAACGACATTCAATCTTGTAGTGAGCTTGAAGTTTCATTTGACTAAAAGTACAATGTGTCTTTCCTATATTTGTATCACTATTATTGCTATAATTAATACCACACTTAATAAGCACTGCACACACATAATTAAACATTTGAATATAAACTCTCTCACTATTAATTATCTTTCGACTGTACTCTGTAATTCTGTAAAGACCTTCTACAGTTAATTCAAGCCTAATTGGTTGACGCAACTAAAGAAAAAAAACATATGGGTCATTAAATTCTCTGTGGGATGCAGAGTTAGGAACAGGATAATTAATCTGAAAGAAACAGACGCTGATAACATGCTCCCACTGAGAAATCCAATAAACTGAGGATAACACACACACACACACACACACACACACACACACACACACACACACACACACACACACACACAACTCTCTGATCGGACAAAGCAAGAATGGAAAGCTAACCATTGTGTGTTGTTTTTCAAATGTCGGCCTGTAGTGTTGTCAAACTGTGCTTCAAAGCAGGTTATGGTCATGGGTAACACAGGCAACACTATAAACATTATCCCTTACATTATTAGTATGGAAAAGGCAGATCTGAAAGAAGTACTTAAATCATTTAAATTATACATAGTTTGTCTAAAAATACTCCATTACAAGTCAAAGTTCTTTAATCTTAATGTTTCTTAAGTTGAAGCAAATAAGTATTCAACAAAGCACATAAGTATTCAACAAAATCTACTCAAAGTATCAAAAGTGAATGTACTCATTATGAACAATGGCTCTTTTGAATGTATTTTAATATTGTAGTATATTATATTATTGTGTTTTTATCGCTTTCAAGTACATGTAACAGACTGTTTGTGCTTGTCAACAAGTCATTTTAGCAACCCATCAACATATTTTTCCAAATCAACATAAATATATACTGCTTTTAACATGTTGTGTGTTTGCCAGTATATTCATCCATCATGTCAACATGTATTTATGTTTCTGTAAGTGGTCAAGCTTACTCTTGTTTTAGTAACCCAAACCTTAATCTGTACAATTTTAGTGACAAGAAGTGCTGCTGCCATCCTTTTGCAGAGTGGCACAATCTTGAAGAAGGGGCTGGAGTTTGGGAGAATTCATTGTAAGTAGGAGCAATATTTTAGCAGCTGACAGTTCAGTGATGGACTGGGAGGAGCTACTTCAAACAGAAAGATGCTCTCTCCTGTAGAGGTGACAGATGAGTGATTATTCAGCATCCAATAACTGCTTCCAATAGCACATGATCTACTTTTTTCTTTTAACTTAATGCATACATTTGAATAAAATTATATATGTTCTGCATTTTCAGAGTCACTGTGTATTTGATAATATGTGCACACAGTAGAGCAAGATGGGTTTATTTTAAATAGGTTGAAAATGAGTTTTTATATTTAACATATTGTTGCATGGATCCACTTGTCCGGACGTGGCCATGTTCACTGCCATCGTTAGACTTACCTGCTACAGAGGAAGAGAAGCTTTGAGCTCTAAATCTCCTGCTGTGCCTTCTGTACAATACAAAGTAGAAAGAAAACAAAACATAGCCTAAATGGAAGATGAATGCTGTGCATAATAAGCAGAGAAACAAGGGGAAACAATGACGTGAATTCAAATTGAGAGCAGTGAAAGTATGCAGCAGAGAACAAGGATTAACACTGTGACCCTATTAAGATGGACACACTTCTGAAAACGGATATTGAAGTGATGCCAAGAGGGATATGAAATTGACCAAATAAATCAGAGCATTAATTGAATCATTATTGAGTCCAAGAAGTGTCAGAAGTGACGCTCTGTGAAATCCATGGAAAACATTACTGCTCCTTTAAAAAAAAGTATACAACCAGGCATGCAGAATGGCTTGTGTGTGGGTATGCATAATTACACTGTTTTGGAAAAAGTGTAGATTAACACAGTTCAATTAAGTTAAGCTAGAAAGTATTAGCATAAGAAATACATAAAGTACAAAACATAAAAGTACACTATGTAAAATGGCCAATTTTCCAGATTATGCACTACATCTTTGAAATACTGATGCATTCATTTGATCATTATTTTCTTCATCCATAATATTGCATCATAATCAATGTGTTGAGTACGCTCTTTGCCTATGAATTTTAGTGAAAAAGAAGAAGTATAAAGTAGGAGAAATCACTCAAAAATAGTACCTACAAATTGTAAAAGTACATTACTTGAGTAAAAGTACTTTGTTACTTTCCGCCACTGATTGAATTTGCATACCAGACCTGGTGTCCTCTAATAGATACAGGGTTTTAATCAAGTGGAAAAGACGCCTTTAATTCATCGTACATGCAGTAAAGGACAATATTATTAAGAATGTTGGACTAATAACAAGTAGACTCTGCTCTGAAGTAGGTCTTTGTAATGTGTGGATTAATCTTATGCAAACATAGTGGCATTTTGACATTTAAGATTTACTGGCTACAAATTCAGATAAGATAGATCTCTGACACACAGCCAAACTGATGTTGTGGTCTGAATTGGTTTAGCGCTCTGCATGGCAGGCTAACGTTGAAGGGAGGGACAAGTAATGGCTCAGTGCCTCAGAGAGAAGCTTACACTACAAGGTGATTGCTTCCTTCCTCTCTTCAGCACCTCCTCTTCTCCCTCCTCATGCTCCTCCCATCTCCCTGCCTCTGTGTACCTCTTAAATCACCATCTGCAGTCCATGTGTTTTGCGCAAGACTTACACACTCCCAGAAAATGAGAATGAGAAAGAGAGAAATTGAGAATGAGATTGGTGACACTTGGCGAGGTACAGACGAATCCAATTCCTTCTCCCTCTGTACCTTCCTCCTGGCTCTGATGCTCCCTCGCTCACTCCCTCAGCTGCTACGCGGACTCCGTCATCAAAACACACAGTGAGGCGTGCTGGCTTGTTCACACTCTGTGGCTTGTGGACACACACACACTCACACACAGTCTCACACTGGAGCCAACATTCAAGATGCAGGAGCAGCAAGAGAGCATGTCTTCTGATTCCCTGTCAGGTAAACGCAAAATAAGATGTGTATCTCTGTCATGCATCCCCTTTTTCTGCATCATTATCCCGCTTGGCTCCCCTCCTCTCACTGTTCAATTACTCTTTTTTCCCTCTCCTATTCTGTATCCATCTGCTCGTGTTCCTTATGTGTGTTTTTCTTCCTCTCATACTGTAAGTACATGTGTTGTGGGATAAGAGGCGATAAACATAATGACTGTTATTGTTGAAAACAGGAGGAGAACCTATTTCCATATGGCAGTGCTGTAAGGAGTACATTAAGGTGGAACAGCTCCTGCTACTACTGCTGCCTCACATCCAAAGCACAGCTGTGAAACTGCATATGGACTAGAGAATATTGCACTCTTCTGACCTAGATACAATAATAACGCTCGTGCTACTTTAGCCGGGATCCTTGTTTTCCTTTTACTTACAACGAGTGGAGTATTTAAGAGGACTGTTGTTTTGAGTGTCCTCCTATGGATATACTGTACAGCATAATTTGCATGCTGAGTGCTATGGAAACTCCTTTCTTATTTTAACAAGTGTGAGATCAAAGCAAGTGGCTGTTTTTTTTTTGAACAGTGGAAGAGTCTGTTGGTGTGTGCTGTCGTTGGCCTTTAGAGGTTTTAATTTGTCCTTGGTGATGAGGACAATCCTGCTGGGTATTGAGCTGGGAACCAGACTGTGCACACATCTTTCATTAGTTATGTAATTCATTTGAAAGGGGCAAGTGAAATGTAAGCCTAGAGGTAAAATCCTTATTGGTCATGATTTGCGCTGCCTACATGCTGAGGTGTAGGCTACCATACTGGTGAGAATAATAACATTTCTACGATTATGAAATGTGAAATGTCAAGATATTACTAACACCTTGTTTTTTTCCCCTCACTGCACAGCATCGAAACTCATTAAAGGCTACTCAAAGTGAGCCTGAGAACTAACACAACTAAAAATAATAATAAATAGGTTTCCTATTACCACATATTTTATGTCCCCATTATTCAACAAGTTAAAAAAAACATGTGTGACCATGCATTTATTCATAATCTGTCAAAAA